CCTTATATATCTATGAGAACATCAACATAAAACTCCAAACTTCGACGAAGAAAATTATTCTAAAATAGATACATATCTATAAGGAAGAAACAAATCATTCAATGCAAGAAAAACATTAATTCAAACAAAACTTTCTCTTTAATCAAGGAGTTGTTTACCGATGTTTAAACTTCGTAAATCTCGTGGGACGAGACAAACAACAACTGATCGATAATCGCAATAGGACACTATCGGTCAAATTACAATAGGACACTATCGGTCAAATTACAATAGGACACAATCGGTCAAATTACAATAGAACACAATCGGTCAAATTACAATAGGACACTATCGGTCAAATTACAATAGAATACAATCGGTCCAATTACAATAGAACACAATCGGTCAAATTACAATAGGACACAATCGGTCAAATTACAATAGGACACTATCGGTATAATTACAATTACAATAGGACACTATCGGTACAATTACAATTACAATAGGACACTATCGGAACAATTACAATTACAATAGGACACAATCGGTCAAATTACAATAGAACACAATCGGTCAAATTACAATAGAACACAATCGGTCAAATTACAATAGGACACTATCGGTCCAATTACAATAGGACACACTCGGTTAAATTACAATAGGACACTATCGGTACAATTACAATTACAATAGAACACAATCGGTCAAATTACAATAGAACACAATCGGTCAAATTACAATAGGACACAATCGGTCAAATTACAATAGAACACAATCGGTCAAATTATAATGGGACACAATCGGTCAAATTACAATAGGACACAATCGGTCCAATTACAATAGGACACAATCGGTCAAATTACAATAGGACACAATCGGTCAAATTACAATAGGACACTATCGGTCCAATTACAATAGGACACACTCGGTCAAATTACAATAGAACACAATCGGTCAAATTACAATAGGACACGGTCGATCAAATTACAGTAGGACACTATCGGTCAAATTACAATAGAACACAATCGGTCAAATTACAATAGAACACAATCGGTCTAATTACAATAGAACACGATCGGTCAAATTACAATAGGACACGATCGGTCAAATTACAATAGGACACTATCGGTCAAATTACAATAGAACACAATTGGCCAAAGTACAGGCGACTTTACGGGTATTTAAAGATCTAAGACCACAACAAAATGTCGCTAGTAAGTTGAGACGGCGACACATCGTACTAGTCAACCAATTTGTGATGGTGACCCTAAAAATTAAGTAGTGTCGACTTCAGTCGTTCTTCCTCACAACTCTAGATCTGTTTGAGTAGATGTTTCTGTTTAAGGAACACGCCTCTCTTAATAATCTGTATAGTGTGAACATGCACGAGCGTTACTTAACTGAGATATGTAAACGCTATACGATGAAGCAAAGTGTATGTCACTGCTGAGAAATGGGAAATTGAAAATTGAAAATTTGAAGTCATCACGTTTGTCGTAGATTCTAGTTTGAAGTTGTCCATCTGTATCAATGTTGATAAAAATCAAGATTTGAAGTAGACATTCTACTTTCGGTAGTTTTCTTAATTTCAAGATCACTAAGATATATGGGATGTAAGCACTCATTGAAATGTGGGTTATTGAGTGACAGAACATCATCAATATACCCGAAGTTGAAATTAAAGAAGTTAATAACATGTTTTTTTTTCTTTTTTAAGAAGGTTCTGTATGAATTCAGCTTCATATGAGTACAGATAAAGTCTGTCAGTAGTGGTGTACAATTGGAATACCGACTGTTTGCTGAAATATCAATTTACTCAACTCAACAAATATGTTAAACTGACACCACCAAGATGTTTTACTTTTAGATTGACAACAAGTGTTACACGTTAGGCAGAGGTTTTTAATCAGTTAATCGGCATCTTTATGAACCAACTATTCAACTAGCAATAATACTTTTTTCGTACACGATGCCTTCCGACTTAATAATTGGCTCATGTAGAACACAAGGGCATATTTTTCTGTGAATCTGTATGAGGTCTCTATACTTAATCCATAAGATATTGTAGTCTGGAATCACATTCTAAAAACTGAGCTTGGAGAAAATATCATCAGAGATACCAGGCTTATGATTAGGTACACCGGGCGTCTACAACTCCAAATAAAACAAGAACAAATCAAATACGAATTTAAAGAGCATTCAAAAAACCAAAATGTTCCAAAAAAAAACTATGAACTAACATTCAGTAACTGTGAGTACCCATAGTTCTGTACTTTGTGTTGTGTATTTGTCTTGTATATTTTTTGTGGGTAGTACCGATCTGATTTTTTTTCAAATATTCCATGTTAGAATGTTGTGCGCTTACAAACATGTTTCATTCCGCCACATTCTGTATGTGCTTGCCAAACGTCGGTAGTATGTTAACCAGTAGTTGCCGTTTGTTGCTGTCTACCATAATTGTTTGTCGTTTATTGTTGTAGTATAAATCAGGAATAGGGTTTTATTGTCATCCTGGGCCTCTCAAATCTTAGTGTATTAAATGATTGAAATACAGATGATGTGTCCACTATTCGCTTTCAAGGGTCTGACAACGCACCGTTCTATTTTCTATATTATAGACCTTTTGGGATGCTCTATGGATTTTGTTGTTATGATACACACTTTCAAAAAAAGAAGGCTGAAATTCATTGATTGACGTACTAATTACCAGAACAGAAAATAGAAGTGTTGTCAGGTCCCATGTAAACAAAGCGTGGACACATGATCTTTAATTAAATTGTATTTGATCTCCCGATCTTTTTTGCTCCGGTCCCGGGCATACCCGGATTGTTATTTCAGAAACAAATATCTTGTCGTGCGCTCCTGTTTTATAGAAATATTTTTTTCAGTTAGGCCACACCAATTTGATTTTTAGTTCTTCGGACAAAAGCTCCAAAAAATATGGGGCGAGCGAGCGAAATTTTTTTGATTGTATTTATTTCTTGAAAATGAGTTTTGTTGAGGCGGGTGCTCTACAAGTGGAGCGAGCGGTATAATATTTTTTTTAAATTGTGCGATTTAGAATTTTATGTACATGTAAAACTGGTTACTTCAAAGAAAAAGGAAGATAAACATGCTCTTATGCATATAATTTGATGTATTTGTGCCTGTAGTACAGTCTGTACCATACACAACTCTCTGGTTCGCTTTGGTTTAGTGTAATTTTGATTATTTTCGTCAAATGATTTTTGACTGCATGAATTTTCATTAAAAATTAAATTCATACATGCATATATATTAAGGAAGTATAGCAGATGCAGTTTAGCAAGAGGAATTATGTAAGTGAGGTACATTTAAATGAAATGTGTTGAATACAATTAAAATATGTGTATGTATTCCAAAATATGCCCTAGAAAAATATTAATTATCTGTTGATATAGTTGTTTTTATTATATGGTGATGATTGTTTATTGGCTGCTTGACATCCAGTTGGAACTATTTATCCATAATAGGATCAACATAATGAGTAAGGTGAATAGTTTAACAACATCCTCAGTAAGATAGTTATATTGCTATGCATGTAGATCTCAATTTATTAAAGCATTCCCTTAAAATACCGTTAACCACATTCACATGCATTATTCTGACTTAGCAAAATACTTTTTCCTTTTGCCCCTGAAACCTGCAATATATTTCAAACTGTAAGTGGTTGCACCAATAACACATCCCTAATTATTATTAGCATGCCAATCCCAATACCACCACTTTGGTCTCGAACGTTGGAAATTTTCCCTTACAAAAGAGTTCTGATTGCATGTTAATAGACTAACAAGGGGATATGAGGTTTTCGTCAAAATAAGATTAATCTGTCATTTTTTAAAAACTCATGTGAATTTAATATTAATTTCATCCAAGACAGATATCTTTTTTTATGTCTGTTGTAGTCCGATATTACTCTGACGTCCAACGGCTGTTTTGCAGGACAAGCTGGGGCCGTTGGGCAACAGCGCCCCAACTTGTCTGGCAAAACAGCCGCTGGACGTCAGAGTAATCTCGGACTATGTCTGTTGAAACAATGATCGGGTATGACAATGGTTCTAACTTCTAACAAGTACTGATGTGATCGTGGTCACCTAACGAAAGATTTTTTATTTTTGTCTCCTAGAACAGGTCTTCATAGGTAAAACGAAACGCGTTTAAAATAAATGTGTGTTTAATAACTACTTGTCCTCGGCAATGATCTGACACAACTTCATGTTGGCATCCCGATTTTTGACCTTTTATTTACAAATCGATTTATCACACGTGCGTTTGAATCGATCAGAGCAATATATGCACAAGAAAAACGTCTGAAAGAAAATAAAATGTCAAGGATAAACTAATTTTGGAGCGGCATGCGGCCCAAAAATTGGCGGAAGCGGTAATTATTTTTTTTTATTGAAAAGTCAATTTCTCCAAAACAGGAGCGGGAAAATCCAAAGAACTATTAATCAAATTGGTGTGGCCTTATTACAAGTTTGCAAAATGTACATTGAGTTGCTTAAAAATATATACGTTTCGACCATTCGTCTGAGGATTCATATACAAAATCATCAATATAGTATCCACTTATTTAGATAATATCCACTTATTTAAATAAGTGGTTTATTATACAGTAAGTACAGGAAAATGTTTGTTCCAGCTGCAAATAGTCTTATTACGGGAAATTGTTTGCTTCCAGTAAATAGTTCATAATCAGTAAATAGTTTTTGAAACTATTAACGGTTAGAAGTCTTTTTCAAACAATTTCGTAAGAATAGTATCTTTTATTCGTCTCGTCCTGAATATGCATGAAATATTTGCCACTGGACGTTAAGCAACCAACAATCAATCAATCAATCTTTTATTCGTCTTTAGTTAATAAAGAAAATACACACTGCTGTTTCATAATCCCAGATATTTCAAATAGAGATATATGGCATTATTGTAACATAAAACAAGGACCAGACTAAGTTAAGTCTCGAACTCATTTAATTATTCACACAAAATATAGAAAAGAAAACTATTTAAAATGCGTGCTTTTAATGCTAACAGTATACAGCAAAAGGATTGTTATGCAATGTTTTATAACATTAACGTGAATGTTTAAGATGTTCCAATTCATATTCATGAGTACGTTCACTTTTGTATGAATTTGATCTGGATGAACGTCCTTTTCGCGATGATCCGGAAGAAGTTGACAATGAGCGGGGACGAAAACGATGCTTGCAACAGAAACCAATGCTCTTGGTTAATTTTGTAATTTCGTCACGGAAGTGTTTGTTAAAGAAACTATATATAATTGGATTGGCGGCGTTGTTTAAGTAGTGGCATCTTGAAAACAATTTTAGAAGCACTTGAACAAATTCTGACGAGTCTTTTTCTATCTTCTTATTTACAGATCTGCAAATCATTACACCAACGGAGGGTAAATAGCTCAATACAAACGCAATGGTGACGGCGATGAAAATCTTTGTCGTCCGAGATGCTTTTATATTGGACAACCTTTCAGATAGATTCGATAGTTTTGATTTAGTTGATAAGTTAGACAATGTTCTGCGGAACTGTTTTTGATTGTGCACCACCGACGAGGAATCATCATCACTTACGCTTGATAACATTCTTTTTCGGCCATTTTGTATAACACTTTGTCTGGGATTTTCACCGATAGTGATGCCTTTTCTTCTTTTAATTGCTAACCAGATTAAAAAGTATAAAGCTGATAATATAACGAATGTTACTATAAACACTAAACCTAATATCAAATAATAAATCGTTTGGAAGGTCGAGCCTTTGTATTTTTGATCAACGGAGCAATCAAAACCACATAGATTTCCTGAAATTTGTTCTCTTCTTGTTCCGAATAGAACCACGGCTGGACTACACAAAAGTAAAGCTAACATACCAGCTGATATAGACATAAATTTTGTTCTATTCCGATTACCAAAACGTAAAGGCTTGCATATTTTAAAGTAACGATCAAATGCAATCTGTATTAAAATCACAGCGGATGCATACGTAGTAGCGCTTTCAACAGCTCTGAAAATTTTGCACGCAATGTTTGAATAAAATGAGTAATGATAGAGTAAATCATATATGTCAATTGGCATCACTACAACACTCGTAATAAAATCAAACAATGCCATGGCAATAATAAAATTGTTCGCTGACCTCTTTTTCGACCGGAAACAGTAAATATACAGAACCAGTGCGTTTCCGAAACATCCTAATATCATCAATAAAAATAAAAAGATGATAACTGGAAGATAAAGAACAGCCTTTCTTTGACTCAGTAGTAATAACTTTGGATATATCCAGTCCTCGGTAGAACAATTTTTTATGTCTGAAAACGGAACAGTCGAAAAAGATGTAATTTCCAAGTACGAGTAGTTGTAAAAGGAATTATGTATGGTATACCCGATGTCTTCAAACATGACGGTTGACATCTGGAAATAAAAAGTTGTTTTTTATACAAAAAAATTATATTTGCTAATAATAATATTTTTTTAAATAGTTCATATAATGTAATGTGTTTTTAATGGGTTTTTTTACTACATGAGTGAGTGAGATATAATTGACCTACATAATTGTTTTATTACTTCCCTAAGCGATACCATACGCAGCTTCTATCTCATAAAATACTATAGAAGATAATGCAAATTTTAAAAAAGGAAAATTGCGTACTTATTTAAAATTTAAAAAAACATCTTCAAAAGGGAAGTATATTTATGTCAAGTTAATAAATTTCAGTATCGAAAAAGCTTAACTCAATTTAGAATCAGTGCTCATCAGTTAGCTATTGATAAAGGTAGATATAAAAAAGTCGATAAAGATAAAAGATTTTGTGGGCAGTGTAAAAATATGCAGGTTGAAGACGAGTTACAGTTTTTAATGGAATGCACTGCATATGAAAAGGAACGGAATTTTATTCTTAATGAAGCATGCATTCAATGTAAAAACTTCCCTTATAATTCAAAGTATGAACAATTTATTTGGTTAATGTTATGTGAGTCTGAAAATGTAAATATGTCAGTGTGAAGATTTATAAGTACTTGTTTTGAAATAAGAGAAAATTTGCATTCCAGTAACTAACAAAATATACATGTAGTAGTGATGTAGTTTTTTGTTTTTGTTTTTTATGTATTAGAGAGGGTTAATATTCTATTTTATTTATTTTCAAACACCATCTGGTATGGAGTATAGTTATTTAATAATTTATTTTAATGTAATATATCTTAAAAATTACTGTATAATTTATACTATATATATATGTATATGCTCAGAAACGGGCCCTTTAATTGGATTCAATAAAATATTCTTATTCTTATTCTTATTCTTATTCATACTCAGTCGAAAAATAAAAGGGTTTTTACATAGCATCACATATATTTTGCTATATCTACAAAATAGTTTTGCATCTTGTATCCGAGTGTCCTAAATACCCACTGGATTTCAAATGAAACCTTTAAAGAATCTTTCTCACGACATACGCGGTGTGCATCATGTTCTTATTATCTTATTAATTCTTTCGACTTCAAATAGAAATACCATGTGTACCTTATGTCTTACTTTGTTATATCTTATCAATTTTGTATGTTTCAAATAGACGGTACTGGTCTAACTATGAAAATTTGCGCAGCAAAGATATGAATTTGTGAGTTTGATTCAGTTTTTTTCTAGTTCTATCAAAGTTTAACTGCCTCTCTCTAATTTCTTGATTCTATCTCGCCTGCATCAACATGGTTTTTAACTGTATTTAAATAACTATGTTAAACCAACCAATGAATCAATGTATTTTAAGTGCAAAACCGATAAAGAATTTTTTTTCTCGTTGAATTGTTATCTCAAGCTGAAATAATCTACATGAAGGTATTTCACCAAATCCAGACCTTAAATGAATCAAGCATATTCAAATCAACGTTATTTGGATTCCTATGGATGGTTGTGTCGTTGGCAATCATACCACATCTCCTTATTTTATAATGTATGAGATTGTAGCATTGAGGTTGATTATCGCTTGCTATGTGGTATAGGTATTGCTAATTGTTACAGGCTGTACGGTTACCAATAAATGTTGATTTCTACGTTATTTGGTTTCTGATGGAACGTTGTCTCATTTTGTAACAAATATGAGCTATAAACCCGCTGCATTTGTTTGCACTTATCATTTATCTATGTTCTTAACAAATATTTTCATGAGTATTCATTGAAGAAATATTATAACAAGCGATAAGGAATGTTGTTTTGCACTCGATAATGTCCGCGTATTTATACGAAATACGTTCGGTTATCAGTCAAAAGCGCAAGGAAATTTCTGTGACTTACCGAATTAGACTATTTACCGGATTTGTAATAACATAAGCAACACGACGGGTGCCACATGTGGAGCAGGATCTGCTTACCCTTCCGGAGCACCTGAGATCACCCCCAGTTTTTGGTGGGGTTCGTGTTGCTTAGTCTTTAGTTTTCTATGCTGTGTCATCTGTACTATTATTTGTCTGTTTGTCTTTTTATTTTTGGCCATGGCGTTTTCATTTTGTTTTCGATCTATGAGTTTGACTGTCCCTGTGGTATCTTTCGTCCCTCTTTCTGCAGCAATATAACACCGGTATGACCTCTCAAGGTCACATCTGATGTAATAATGGCCTGGACATATACCTTTATTTAAAATTTAACGAGGGATTTTTTGGTTTTTAAATCATTGTCTCCTTGTATCGCTTTCCGTATAGTATATTAGTGTGGGTGTAAATTATTTTGTCAAACATTTGATTTAGATAAAAGATTAAGAAAAATTAACCTACTTAAATGGCTGTATCCTGAAGCTAGAATGTTTATGTAATAATTCAAAAGGATTTTAGTATATACACGCGAAAGAAACAATTATTTGATTTATTATTTAAATAATGAAGTTTGCTTCCGTGAAATGTTATTGTCCCTAGTGTTCAAATTAATCTGACTATATCCTTTCTGTAAATAACACAAACATTGTTTGTAAACAATATTGCATTGAAATATTTTGAACTGTTATTCCAGAAGCGGGAAAATATTAATTAGATATTCGTTTAGAATTCCGGCATGTTTTTAAACAGATGATAAAAAAAAATCCCACGAACGTGATTCTCTTTCATTGACTTCATGGTTATAATGGAAGATTTCACTCTACAGTCTATATTGATAGTTTAAAAACATCTTTTCGCATTTGATTCAAATTTAGAATTCAGTTGTTATTGGTTTTCCCTTTCGTAATATAAAAACCTCATCAACGACATATAACTGTGTACGCCTGACGCGAGTTTCGTCCACAAAAGACTCATCAGTGACATTCGGATGAAAAAAGTTATAATGCCAAATCAAGTTTGAAGTTAAAAAGGCATTGAAGACAGAGAATTTCGAAAGGTTTTGCAAAATACAGCTAAAGTAATCTATTTCTAGGGTAGAAAATCCTTAAGTTTTTCGATGTTTTGTAAACTGATAATTTATTAATATCAATGATATGTCATGTCAACACAGAAGTTCTGAAATGTGTGTAAATCTTCATATAAGATATGTTTAACTTTGATCCCTTAAATTCAATAAAAGTCCATGAGGTATTTTTTCAAGCTGTGTAGAAAGCTGAACCTTCTTCCGACTGTTGTTTTCTTTTCTTTTTTTATGAACTAAGAATCGGATATAAGAAAAACAAATTTTGAGAATTCCAGGAAAGCTTCATGGAATACATTAATACTTACATTAATCTAAGGTATTACATGTAATAAAATTCAATTGGCATCCATTCATTGTTGTTAGTTTTCCATGTTTAATTCTACCATTAATGATATTGTTTAGATAAACTAAACTTTCAAAATTTATCTTTTAATTACTCTATGATGCGTTCAAAAAATTTATGATATTATATTCAAGATTTTATGTCATACTATATTTATATATATATGCGTGTGTGAAATATTAAACAAAATAACGAAATATTTTTTTCTTTGTTCTAAATGATACTGAATGATAAATAAATATTTTCTTACCTCCATTTTCAAATTAATTCAAAATTAACAATTCACTCATAAATTAATAACGCACGCTCTACTGTCTAATCGGCAATTAACCATAGTTACGTAAAACTTGTATTTTTCTAGTGGAAATATTCGTTTTCTACACACATTTCACACACTTCCGGTTTTTATTAAAACATTATCTTGGTCGCGTTGTACGGAAATGGTTCAATGAGCAAATAGGATTTAATACTTAAAACATCTATACCTATATATATAGTTGAGAAATAATTCTGATGAAAAAGGAACTATTTTCCTGGAATAAAAAAGTTGTAATTGAAAGCTTTTTCAAAATTGCATTGAAATTAAATGTTCAATTCAATGCATCTTTAAGCCTTAAATTGTTTTATCTAAATACGTGTATCAGTCTATCACGACACATGGTGTGTCTAAAAGGTGATGTGAGGGTAAGCGTCATGAGACAGCAACCAAACGACAAAAATAACCCAAAGACATACAGAGGGTAACATACAGTTTCCAACAATATGTCCAATATGTTAAGTTCTAAAACATCTCGAGACTATATAAAAAGAAGTGTGAATAAATTTTACAGACTAACAGTCAAAGAATTGACATTTAAACACAGTCATGTAGTTCTTCGAATAACGATAAAACATAGATATGACATAAGACAACTATTGACGAGGCACATAAAATGTGGTGAGGTTAAAAAGAGAACCAAAGGGACATACTAACTCATAAGTCGAAAAAAAAACTTATGTTTTGTTTGTTTTCAGTAGCTGCCATTAACAAAATATGAGCATTTTGTGAACTGCTTGATATTAATTGCGATTTATAGATTTTCTTAATACACTTTTTGGATATTTCTTAATTAAACTAGACTTCCAATGATATTTATGATCAATTAACTTTTTATAACCAAAGTACAATGTGACGAATGCAAAGTTGTCTCTAGATGTACATGTAAATAATTTGTCACTGTTGGTCTCTCCTTATACATATTACTGGTTGACATTTCTCTAGACATCCTTATGCATATTACTGGCTGACATTTCTCTAGACAATCATTCGAGCCAGTTACTTGATGTGAGGTTAGTTATTTTACAATATGGTTACCAGTTCATTTAAACTGGATACTACATGTATAAGGGTCTGGATGGAGGTCCTCCATTTCTTCATTCTTAATTGTTTTAGGGAGCTACCATTTGATTTTTATGGGGGGGCTAGGATGAAAAATTTTGTCCTGCTTTTTTTTTTAGTTGTAATCTCTGTCCTGCCTTTTTTTTTTACTAGTTTATCCTGAATTTTTTTACACAAATTGTCATCCTGCCTTTTTTTTAACCAAGTTGCTCATCCTGCCTTTTTTTTTACTCAAAACTCCTGTCCTGCCTATTTTTTTCAAATTTCATCCCCCCCCCCCCCCCATAAAAATCAAATGGTAGCTCCCTTAGACAATTTTTCTCTATTCTTTAAATATTTTGCCCCTTATTCTTTATAAAATAGCACCCCATCATTCTCTTTTTTTTTTGCCTATTTTTCTGTATTCTTAATTTTGCGTGTCTTTATTCTGCAAGTTTTGCCCACTATTCTCTATTCTGTAAATCCCATCCACACCCTCATGTCTGAGGGAAAATTTTAAATGAGAAAAAAAAACAATGTGTAAAGTAGGAAGTCTGCTATATCGGACGCATGCTCAGTAAGACTTCCGAGACGTAGATGCACTTTCTTCCGGTTAAACTTACAAGTAATGATCGTTCAGGTTTGATGGGAAGTTTAGCATTTCTTTCACAGAATTTTTGGTCATGGTATCTTGGCTTTTTTTCTAATAATAATTTTTTTTAATTGCCATTTGGTATCTTCATCCTTTTTTGCCTTTGTACTATACAATAAACTGAAGAAGCTATAAAGGTTTGATATTTCTTTTTTCTATTCAAAGGTTATTTCAGTAACTATACTGAAATTAATGTGTCAAATTTAGTCGACTTTACTGAATGAGATTCAACGTTAGATGAATGAGGTTATATGGTTTACGCCCATTCATAATATCGGAAACATATTATTATCAGCATCATCAAAGGTAAACTTACCACAACGAGTACAGAGATTTACTTACATCTATTTCTATTTACAATTTTGACTCATTAGTAAATTTGAGTCATATACAACAATGACGATGAAGTTGTGGTATATGTAACATATACAAGTTGATATGCATCTGAACACTTCAAACTATGATGCATGTCCTGATGGCGTATCTATTGATATGAACAATACAGGACAAAGTTCGATCTTGTAACGATAAAAACACTTACACAATTTATGATTCAGGTATGGTAGAATATGTTTTATGAATGGGAAAAAAATACGTTGTTATTTTTCTGATATTGGTTAAAAAATAATAGAAACTAGAACTTACAAATTCGCTCTAAGAACAATACATGTAGGGTTTTAATGTTAATTAAACAAAGTTAACGTCTAAAATAAATTTCTTCAATTTCTATATATTTTTGAAATTATTTTCTGTATAGACATTCATTATTACGAAAGACAATGGATTTGTTTTTGAATTAACATTACCAAGTGGAAACAAATCATTTTTCTAGCATCAAAAGATTATGAACCTTTAAGGCAAAGTTGACCTTAGATGAATTTGGTTATTATTTGTATGTCCCTATTGGTCACATAGGTCTTCACGTGTTTCGGTACTTATACATCCGGGGCTTTTAAATTTTTCCCGGTGAGGATAAATCAAGAAAATTCCACAATATTAAGATCATGAATTGCAGCAAATATCACATATCGATAAGATTATACCAACAATAAACAAATATTGGATTGTTTAAGAAGCTTTCCGACGAACACATACGGTACGTGTACTAACTATTAACTACTCTTTACAAAATCAATACACAGTGCATGTCCTTATGACATGCGATTCCTACACGCTCATCTGTTTTTTTCAATGACACAATAAACTCTGTTGCTACAAAATAAACTAGCTTAAATCAAATGAACAAAAATACAATTACCAATAATATTCCAAGACATTCCAAAAAAACAAAATCTAGAGCACCATCATATTGGCGTGTAAACAAAAAACAACGACGGGCATGTAAAGGTTGGACAAATTTAACTTACCAACGATTAAGTAACTTCAACTCGCACAAGAACCCTAAACGGTACTAGACTTGCCACTCATGCGTCACCCATCGTTTTCAACCAAAATCAAAAGCTAGTGCCTAGTAGATCTAAGGTTAAATGTTTAAAGGTGCACTTTTATCATATGATAAATCTGGAATGATGCTGAAAATAACTTTACATCTAGTATAATGGCACTGTTGTCTTGTGGTGTACTGTTTACCTCACCTTTGGAACATCAATGGCATATCATATATATTCTTAATGGTAAATATCAACAGCAACAAAATGTGGTCCTTCATTTTGTAGATTTCGAATTAAAAACAATAACAAACAATCTTTTATGAAGTTGAAGTGTTAAAGTGCGCGAAAAATTCTGGTACTCCGTTTATAAATGCGCCACCCAATTTTCCTTTGACTGTTAAGGAAAGGTTTTAATATATAAATAACACATAGCTGAGAGGGTGATAGAGCAGATTGTTTCCCCGAGAAAACATTGTCAACTGAGGCAAAGCCAAGGTTGACAATGTCTTTTCGAGGGGTAACAATGTGCTCTATCACCCTCTCAGATATGTGTTATTTAATTTATTATACTGAATGTTCTGTTATTACTGTCTATTAAATTTCAAATTCAAAGTAATAAACTATGTCGTTTTGTACATAACAATCATCCGTATTTATTAAAGCGTACACTTGAGCAAGCGTCTCCGTGAAGGGTAATAAAGTATTTGCTATGGGATAGAGTAAATTGACTCCCTCGTATTAACCAATCAAAATCTGGCATTTTGACATGAAGTATAATAAAATTATTTATAAAATTTCAGGTTAAAATGCCAGATTTTGATTGGTTAATACGAATGAGACCATTTTTTTGAATGTCTCCCTCTCGTGCAGACCAATCAAATATCGATAATTTATAGGAAAGTGAATTGAATTTGCCTCAATAATTTAAAAGACAATGCTCAAATTCTACGTTTTGACCTCAAATATTTTTCATAGACTGTCAACATAAAAGATGTGAAATGAATACATATTGCTTCACTATTGTTATTTTTCAATAACTGCAACAGTTAAAGCGCTATTTGATGCATTGCACTTGTTTAACAGTTAAAGCACCATTTGATGCACTGCACTTTTGTAACAGTTAAAGCGCTAATTGATGCATTGCACTTGTGTAACAGTTAAAACGCTATTTGATGCATTGCACTTGTTCAACAGTTAAAGCGCTATTTGATGCATTGTACTTGTTCAACAGTAAAAGCGCTATTTAATGCATTGCACTTGTTCAACAGTTAAAGCGCTATTTGATGCATTGCACTTGTTCTACTTGTTTAATGGTTAAAGCGCTATTTGATTCATTGCACTTGTGTAACAGTCAAAACGCTAATTGATGCATTGCACTTGTTCAACAGTAAAAGCGCTATTTGATGCATTGCACTTGTTCAACAGTTAAAGCGCTATTTGATGCATTGCACTTGTTCAACAGTTAAAGCGCTATTTGAAGCATTGAACTTGCTCAACAGTTAAAGCTCTTTTTGATGCATTGCACTTGTTCAATATTTGATGCATTGCACTTGTTTAACAGTTTAAGCGCTATTTGATGCATTGCACTTGTTCATCAGTTAAAGCGCTATTTGATGCATTGCACTTGTTCAACAGTTGAAGCGCAATTTGATGCATTGCACTTGTTCAACAGTTGAAGCGCAATTTGATGCATTGCACTTGTTCAACAGTTGAAGCGCTATTTGATGCATTGCACTTGTTCAACGGGTAAAGCGCTATTTGATGCATTGCACTTGTTAAACAGTTAAAGCGCTATTTGATGCATTGCACTTGTTCAACAGTTAAAGCGCTATTTTAAGCATTGAACTTGCCCAACAGTTAAAGCTCTTTTTGATGCATTGCACTTGTTCAATATTTGATGCATTGCACTTGTTTAACAGTTTAAGCGCTATTTGATGCATTGCACTTGTTCAACAGTTAAAGCGCTATTTGATGCATTGCACTTGTTCAACAGTTAA